GGGGTGGGGTGGGGACTGGTTCTTGCTAAGTCACCAAATTGCTCAGGCTGGGCATGAACTTAGGATCCTCCTCCTCAGCTACTCGGAGGGCTGGGATTTCAGAGGCTTGTATGCCACCAAGCCAGATTCAGTGTATCTTTTGAGGGTATATGATTCAGTGAACACCACCTAGAGTATTGATAGAATTGGCATGGCCCAATGCCCAGCCCACTTTTATCAGGAGGAACGATGTCTGGCATAGCCACTCTGGAGAAATCCCAAATGGACTGGCGCCCTCTGCGACTGATAGACAGCCTCAGAGAGGTCCCTGTGACTAGCTAGCCCCACCTTTGGGAGGTTTGCATTGCTGACAGGCACCCCCAGTTTGTGGGCCCTCTTACCAACTTCCAGAGGCCTCTTGGGGGCTTAATTCTAGATCATCACAGTGTGGGAAGCTCAGGAGAAGGTTTTACCAATTGGATGACTAAGTGGAAGTCATAAATTAAGTCTTGAGTAGCAGAGAAGACTATAGATTGAAATTGAGTGGAGCTAGGATTAGAGATAAAAGCTAGATACAGAGCAAGCAGACACCGGAAAAATGTAAAGGGCGACATGGTCAAAACAAACAAACTTGGAAGCACCTCTGGGCATGGGGAGGTGGTCAGTCTGCGGGGTCAATGTTCTGAAGGCCATGGCAGGTTGTGCTGGCATCTCAGGACTGCAAGGGAGAGATGGAACAAAGGGGAAAGAAAAACAACAAATGAGGTTGAGCCGGCCAATCCAGGGTGATTTTTTTTTTCTTAAGACACATACACAGGGGGAGAATTCTCATGCACATCTGTCTATGAAGCCAGGATAATATCTTAAACAAGTGTACAACATGACACAGAGGACGCTGTGTGGGATGGGTACAAGGAGAACCGTTCCAGTGCTGCTACCACTGGATTTGGGTCGGAAAAGACTCACATCCTCCAAGTTTATGATTTTTTTTGCAAGAATCATGGGTGCTGCACTCAGTCACCTCTCATGTGCCACAGGCTCCTTCACGTGTACTGACTGATGAGCATTTATTTTAACAAATCTCCAGCTTAGCATTGCTTGAGCTACACTGTTCTGAGAAAGAAAATTCCAAAAGAAAATGAGACTTTCTGGTAAAGGCAAAGGAGAAAGTGACTGAGAGCTGAATTGTATTCTGGGAAACTCTCTGCTCTTATTCTACATGGGATCAGGGGAGAGGAATTCTTTGCTTTTGCACAAATCCAAATAATCCCTCTGGCTTTTCAGTAAATTAGGCACACAGTCCCTCAGTCCTTGACACATATTGTGAGGAAATTATTTGATTTATTTACTTGATATACTTAAAGCATTCCACTCATCTGCAAGCAATTGGATACATGAAGAAAATACAAATCCAGCAGTTAAACAGAACGCTGCAGTGACAGCCTCAGTGCAGAGGAAACAGCCAGACAGTGATTGGTTGCTGCAAAACAGGAAACCATTGATATGAACCACAGGAGGATTTGGGGTTGAGTAAATCAAAAGCCAATTACGATCGACCATCTCTGACTGTAATTTCATTAATCCCCAAACTGACAGTTTGTCCCGAAAGAATCTCCTAAGCAACATGCGTCCTTGCTCCTCCAAGAATACACAGTGACCCGCCAAGGATAAGGTGCGTGAGCTCCGGAGAGACACTTCCGGTATCAGAAAGACACACTTGTAAAGAGTTACTTTTGAGTACTGTAAAGAGACACTTTGGAAATTCATGTCGTTCTCCCAGCTGCAGTGAGGAACCCGAGTTTGGAGAGGACTAGGTGACTCATCTAACAGAATGATGTTCAGAAGGTGGTAAAAGCAACACAAGAGAAGCCTGATTTACAAGCTAAAAATACACTTCCATCATATTGGTCAGGGATGAGAATGACTCCCATTTTTCCTCCTTTTTTTTTTTTTTTTTTTTGGTTTTTCTCCGGTACCGGGAACCGAACTCACGACCTTGAGCTTGCCATTTTTCCTCCTTTTTAAAAAATTACGTATCCCAGTTGTTCCTTCCTTTGAGGAAGCAGTTTCCTTCCCTTTCACAATATCTATTGTACCTTTCAGTTTTATTTACTCTTTCAGGTACTTATACTAGGGAGACAATACAATGTTTACACATGTGGGTCTGATTTATTTCACTTATGATTATGGTCTCTAGTTGCATCCCTTTACCTATAAAAGCATCAAGTTTATCTTTTTTATAGCTGAGTAATACTCCATTGTATGACTGGCATGAAGGAAAGGAGAAAAGAAAGAAAGAAGAAAGGGAAAAAAAGTATATATGTATATACAAGGGTAGTTGGGATAATTGTACTGATTTCTATTAGTGTATTGAAAGGAACAGTTAATGCTTAATTTTTTTCTTTTTAATTTTTGACCAATTTTGCATGCTTACATCTGGTAACATGAACAAGTAATTTGAAGACAATATACAATATATCAACCATTGTTGAATCCCTACCATCCTGTTTAGTGAAATTCTGTATTGTTTCTAATGTTTTTATTATTTTTATTCTCTTTAAAAAATAATAAAAAAAGAAAAAAATTACATACACACACAGACACACAAAAATCCTTCATTTACATAACTCATTTTTGTTTTTCTTGTTTGACAGTACTGATAATTGAATCCAGGGCCGTCACACTAAGCTACTGCCCCAGACCATTCTTTTTTATTTTGAGACAGCCTTTTCTAAGTCACTGTGCTGCTCAAATAGAGTTTGATGTTGGGATTTGCCTCTTTAAGTCTCCCAAAGTACTAGGAATTACAGGCATACATCACCACACCTAGCAATACACAGCTTTACAGTATACCTCATTTAATTATGGCCACACCTTTTTGGGTAGGTAATGTTAATACATAAGTGCAGCCAATAACTTAAAGAGCTTAAGCTACTTGCAAATGATCAAACATGATCAAGTTAATGGTTGGGCCAGAATTTGAATCATGGTCTACTGATAGTCAAACCAGCATTTTTTTTCCCTCCAGCATATACACTATTTATCATGTGAGCAAATAACCAGAAAATGGGATTTCAGTACAGTATGGTTGTACTCAGATTTCAGGTGAAATGCAAATAAATTTCCTCCCAAGCAATATAGACTAGAACGATGACTTAAAGAGCTGTATAGCATTGCTTAAAATGAGAGAAACAATATGCTTATGGAGATGCACATTTAGGTGAACTGTGTAGATTTTACTCCTTAACTAAAATGAGGAACACCCAGGTTCAGGTGACTTTCCCAATGCTTGGAAAAACCACAGCCCTGGAGTTAATGTACTTAACAAATTAGTGTGGCTGTCAGTTTCTGAAATGTACCTGTGACATATGGAAGAGGCCACTGAGATGGGGAACCTCAGCCTTTCTGACGTGCTTTCAGCCTCAGATCCTGAGCTGCCCTGGGAAATTTTTGCATAGTCGTTTGACCTGTACAACTTGTTGCTTTTGATAGGAACTGTGGGGGCTGCACACAGGTTTGTGCACCTCGAGCCCTCTCGAGGTGAGAACTGTGTCCCTGGAGCTCCGTATCAAAGAAGCCCAGCTGCATTTACACCACTCTGTTTTATTGAGGGCAGATGGCAGGGCAGATGCCTTCCTCATAATTTCTCTAATCCGTGTGTGGCAGATATCGATATCATCAACCAAACATGAAGAAACTGATACTCGTACCTGGGGTTTGACTCCACTTCTGCCTGACTTCAAGTCAATATTTTACCCCAGTAAATTAGGCAAACTATCTTGATGCATATGTTGAACCTTTCTTGTGTTAAATAGTAATGCTTATTCTCACTTTTCAAGAGAATTTTTGCTGCTTGTTTTCCTCACCCAAGAGCCCTTTTCCAGTCACTTGTTAAATGCAGAATAACGGAAGCTAAGAGCCTAAAGCTTTCGGCTGTACCCAAGAAAAACACCACTTCCCATGCTACACCTCTTTAGAGTTGCAACTGGCCTTTGTATGGCACACACAGGCATCCACACAGACATCCACACATCACCTACACAGTACACACACACACACACACATGTGTGCACACACATACACACACTCACACACTCACACACTCACACATACATACTTGCATTACAAAAGCAGCTCTAAACCCTTGGCCTAATAACTATCTTGCTCACACTGGGTGCAGAGATTCTTTAATAATCCAGGGTTATCTGTGATCTCTAGACACTGCAGGCAGTCTCACTTGGCTATGAAACTTTTGTGGTTTTCTGTCCCTTCAGTGGCCAGTCTCATTTTAGGGACCATCTCCCGCCACCACACACTCCCAGGCCATGGAACAAGGGACTGCTTTTCAGGGGCATTGTAGAAGAGTGGGTGGCTTTAGTGGCCTGGTGTCCCATCCTGGACTTGGTCCCTTGTTCCTTCCTCAAAGTGTTCTGCTGCTGGACCACTTCCCGCTACACAGGTGTGGGCATTATTTTACAGTCACAGAACAATTTTCATATGAAAGAAATCAGTTCAAACTCCTTTCAACACAATTGGAAACAGACCTTTGCTCTTTCTGATTCTCTTGGTCTCAAAAGTAGCGGGTTCAGGCAGAAGACATAAACTCTTTTTTCAACTGCTATCTCTCAAAGGTGGTGAGTTACTGCTCTGCCTTCCCTGAGAATATTTTTCAATGGTTGAATATGTGATCTTCTTCAGTCAGCCTCTCAGTTAATTAATGCCAACTTTGGATGATGTGAAATCAAATGAGATGACTTCAAGAGGCTTAGGAAGGAGCACCTTGAATTATGCATTACTTTTAAAACTGAATCAAACATGCAAGCACAAGACCGCACACGTGCAGACAGATGCAGGCTTTCGATGGTTCCACTTGGAATTCTGGGCTTTATGCTGGATCTGGCACATGACCAAGAAGAGAAGAGACCCATGCAGTTCCATTCTGCACCACTATGGACTTACACCCCTGTCACATCCAGATACCATGCAAGTATTACAGTTAAGACATTTTTCTCTTCCTTCTCATTCTTCTCCTTTTCCTTCCTCAGCCTCTTCCTCCTCTTTCTTCTTCTTCTGCTTCATGTGGACATAACAACTGTGCTCATTTTTTCCCCGGAGTAGAAATCCAAGTCAGTCACCCTTCAGGGTGATAGCTGCCATAACTCTGATAAAACAGTTCTGGAGGTTGAAGAAAACCCTTCACTGCCATAGCTGATCTTGAGCCTCTGTATCTGTCAGCTCTTTCCTTGCTGATACACAATACTAGACACCCACAACCTAAAGGAGAAGAGGCTTATTTGGCTCATGGTTCAGGGCATTCAGTCCATAGTCAACTGCTTCAAGGCAGGAACACCATGGTGGAAGGGCATAGGGAAGCAAAGCTGCTCAGTTCATGGTGTCCAGGAAGCAGAACAGGGAAACAGACCAGAGAGAAAGGAGCAGGGGCCAGACATAGACCCCAAAGTCACACCTCCACAACTCATCCAGACACACCACCAATATCCTAGGTGGATCCCCAAGCCAGTGAGTCAGATCATCATCACCACTCAGATCATCATCACCCAGAACGGATGGGTACATTTCTTCAGCACCACCCTTTAGTGTTCAGATCTCTCAGGACTCCACTTTCCCTTTTAGATCCTCCTGGTCATTTGTGAGCAGTTTGAGTGGCTCACTTGGCTTTTTCAGTGGGATGTTCCTGACCTTCATTCCTGATGGAGGATGTGAGTCCCTAGATGTCTTGCCCTTAATGGGTGTCAAACCCAAATTGACTGCCTGTTGCTGGCTAGGAAACACCACAGAGGAATCCTGGCTGCTCCTTCAGGGCAAGCTACACTGGGGCTTCTCTCCTGATCTGTTGCAGTACCAGTGTATGTGGACCAAAGGAGAGGGGGGGAAAACAAAGATTCCGGTTCAGAAGGATCTACCTGGCCCCATTCAGACTCTAGATGTGAAGGCTGCTAACAAGGTGAGCCCACAGGACAGAGAGGACAAGTGTATACTTCAAATAGCCTGATAACAAGTAGGGAGCCTGCATCCCAACTATTGGAGACCCACTTCTTCTGTGTGCCTGGCTCCACCATGGACTGTGGCCTGGAGGTCTTTCCTCTCCAGGCACACCAAGAGTCCATGGCAAACTAAGTCTTTAGTCATCCATCATATCATTCCAGAAGGCTGGCTGATGCTCCACGTTTTTGACTATGCCTCTTCTCCATGCTTTAACAAAATCCCATCAACTTCTTGGTTTCTGTACAACAGATAGTTTCTTTTCTCAGAGTTCTGGAGATTGGACATACAAGGTGAAGATGCCAGTCAGCACCTGCTCTCTGGCTCACAGACTATCACCTTACTGTGTCCTCATGGGCCTAGGAAACAAGGGAGCTCTGGCATCTTCATTCTCCAGAATGACATAAACCCACTGCAAGGACTCTGCTCTCATGGATTACTTAAATCTAATTTTTCTCCAAAGCCTCACCTCCAAATACTGTCATGTTGGATTTTAGGGCTTTGACATATGATGTTTGGGAAAATACAATCAATTCATAGCATAGAGCACTGGTGAGACCTGTAGCCAGTGCCCATAGACTCATGTTGTTTGTCTATAAAGCAATTCCTACCAGTCTTATGCAAAGTCGGATGCAAGTGGCTGCTCCCAAGTGGCTACCTGACCTTAAGGAATGGCATTAACAAGAGTCCCTATATCCTTAGCACTTGGCCATTTCAGTGCTCAGCCACCAATTCAGCACTGGTAAGTGAGACTCCTCAAACAGAACCCGGATTTAGATGATGCTCCTGAGCCAACAATGAACTGAACCTTACTTCTAGATATAACCTCATATGAATTAATATATTCCCTTTTGTTTGTAAAGGTACTTTGCATATTGACAGGGTCAGAAAGATGATAGTTACTGGTAATCACATGCAAAACTAATCGATCATTTAATTACAAATGGTGCCCTAAACTAGCTGTCCCATAAAATTCAATTAAAAGAAAGGAGCTGAGCCAGGTGTGAGGATACATGTGGATAATCCCAGCACTCTAGGGGGCTGAGGCAGGAGGATTGCAAGCTAGAGTCCACTATGGGCAACTCAGTGATTTAGCAAGATCCTATCTATAAATAAAAAAGGACTGGGGATGTAGCTCAATGTGAAGGACTTGGGTTCAATCCCCAGTACCACATAAAAAGCTGCTTGACCTACAGGCTTCAAAATGGCCATTCTATTTAACATTTATTTATCTTTCATGATGGAGAACTATGAGGGTTTTGGTGACAAGCATTTCTCAATCATCTTGGTATAGTCTGAACAGTTCAGTGGAAGGGTGATCCTGTACCTGATATTTGCAAGCTCAGACAGCAGCCTCCAATTTCAAAGTCTTCAAAGCAATACCTTAAACAGTCATTCCCAAAACATCACCTGGTACCAGAAATATCAGACAGCCAGAAGTGGTCACTGGCTGTCTGATTCCTGCAGGGAATGTTCTGCATGCTGCAGAACAATAATGAATATTTCCTGAAAGGAAAGCTTCCAGATCTGTACTTTCAACAAGCTCTCTGGATAACTTTTATTCACTGCCAAGATTGAGAACAAACGTCCAGAGAGAATTGGCTGAGGTCAAAGTTTGAACAAGAGCCTTGCAGTGTAGCTACTTGGGATTTAGCTTCTTGTTAATCTGGGCTGGATATTTCCCACTTTTGTATTTTCTGGGGTTGGTCTAGAGAAAACAGAACTCATAACATGCCTACCTCTCCAGTCTCAAGCCCTGGACAACTTGAAGAGGTGATTTCTTTGGGGGCCTTCATCTTCTCATCTAGCGAGAAAAATAGAAAAGATTACATCAAATTGTATATAAAGCCCTTTCTGCGCATGACCACCAATGGAGAAGAATTGTAAAACTTCTGCAAACATGAGCGTATTTGCCTAATCTTATTCTAATTCACTGCTTTGGACTCTTCTATCCTCAGTACATTTTTATGCATAAATGAGAGGGTAGTGGGAAGGATGTGTTTAGTAGTTGAGGTTCCCTCAGAGATATTCATCAGTAGGAAATCATCTATAAAGTAAGAGTCTTTGGTCTCAAAACTTGTAAAGAAATTATAATTTTAGAGTTAACAACAAGGTGTCATCACGGAAACATAGCTCCCCAAGTGAAATGCTATTGGACTTAATTTCCCACTTTTAGAGCCCATGCAAAATGAGAGAAGATTATACCCTAGTCTATTAGAAAGCACACGTGTATACCAATATTTTCATAGAAGAGCTTCAGTGTCCTTGTAGAGAACTGGAAGTCATTGCCATACAGACTGATCTTGCTCTCCTGTGGTTTTGTGGGAACCTCCTATTTCATCTACAGTAGGTGATTTGCAAGAGTCCTGCTTGAGAGCTTAAGTTTTGGCTTCCAGCCCTGTAAATCTGATGTGAAAATTCACCACGTTTTCCTGCCTCACTCAAATCCCCTGGTGTCAAAAACTGTAACCTCGGTGCCAAGAAAAACAAGCCAAGCAAAGTGTTGGGATTGCTCTGGTGGAAGTCATCACTGCTTTCCTCTGGCCCAGCAGGAGGCCACAAAGTCTCAGAGTCACACAATGGGACATTGTGATGGGACACATTCCGCCATTCGTGCCGAGCTGCAGGGCTGGCCTGTTGGTGGACGAACTTCCTGCTGTCCATTGCCCATCAAAGCCTGGGGCCCCAGCGAACTTGGCATCGTCTGTCTTCCATTGTTCCTTCTGGACATTTCCATTATCAAATCAAGTTACAGAATCAGCTTCCTTGCCTTCCTGAGGAGCTCTTCAAGGCTAATTTGATTTAACTCCACTCACAGAAAGACTAGGGCCTGTGTTTCTCAGAGACAGAGAGCCCCACGAGGCATAACTGGCTTCCAGCAGACAACCCAGGCCTGATTTGCAGGTGAAGTGCTCAGGAGGGAGGGAGGGAGTGATCTGCCTGGGCCTGAGCTGCGGTTCTTGGGTCCTCATCTCTGATTCTCATTAAGGGCTGCAGGAATCAAGCCCAAGTCCTCATTCTCGCCGCTAAACTATATTCCTTAACCTGCAGCACCAGCCAGCTCTCACGTCTGAACACAATGCTTTGTCACCTATTCAAAGGACTCGCACTGGCTTCTCTTGCTGCCAGCTGCCTACCGAAATGTGCACAGGTCCTAGTACCCATGCACACTGTTCCTAGGTTAATAGAAGGGCTTGGTGGCCAGCGGGAGGTGTGAATTCATCACCAGATCTGGTGTGGTGTGCGTGGGCTTTAGCAGCTTGTCAGAAGTGTGACTTGAAGATAATGAATCCAAGCCCAGTGATTTTCTTTTTCATGGTTTGCTGCTTTATTAACAATGATGACAGAGAAGCAGCAGCCCTCTGGATAGCGCACGCATGCTTTGTAAGCAGGATTCTCTTTGGTGAAAGGCCGAGATGACTGATGAGAATAACCAGTCTGTCTAACACCTTCCTCTACTATGCAATTAATCAGCTTTCATTTTCATTGACTCTGAACTCCGTGAAGAATGACCCAAAGTAGCTCTTTTCAGACTCAAATAGGATTGAACGGCAAATGCTATCTCCATCGTCCACTTGGGTGACACCAGCCACGCAGGGATTCTGGGTGCTTGGGAAGGGGCAGGGCCACACTGAAGTAAGAGTAATGGACAAGTGCAGACCACTCACTGGATTTTAGATTTTGGGTTAATTATAGCGCAAGCAGACAAATGCATCTTGATATTTTTAGGCATGTTATATATGAGAGTAAGTGAATGTGATTGATTTTAATAATGAATTGTACCTGTTTCTTTTGCTGTCTTCAATAGGTCACTAGGAAGGTGATCTATTTCCACTGGAAGGCATTGCTAGAAGTGCCTCTCCTCTAACCTGAACAGCTGAATAAGTGCATTGTAGGTGTCATCACATTATCACTTGGTTTATTTTATTTGTTTAGTCATATGTTCTTCACAGTGGTGGGGATTGGATCTAGGGCTTTCACACTAAGCTAGCTCTCCCAGCCCTTTTCCTTTGTTTTTATTAAATTTTGAGATAGGATCTGGCTAAGTGGTTAAGGTGCCCAGGCTGGGTTTGAACTTGCAGTCCTCCTGCCTCAGCCTCCACAGTGCTGGGTGGTGTGCCCCTATGCCTGGCTTCACTTGAGTTTTCTATGTTGCACTTTCTTAGAATTATGGTTGCCTGGGGGATTTTTAGAAAATGGTTAATAACTTTATCTTTTCACAAGTCTTTGGTCCTAATATCTATGTATCACATTTTATATATAAATTCAACTTTAAACATATATCTCTATATTTTTAAACAATAACTCTGGTGGCTGAGGTAGAAGTGTGCTTAGGAGGAGTAAAGATCTGAGTTCAATCCTTGGCACCAAGCACTGTGTTAAGATTTGAGAATGTGAAATAGGAAAAGATTTGCTAATCCATCCAAGGTAATTTTCAGCTTTAAGCTGCACTGTAGCCACTGCTGGGAGATGGACACTGTGGGCTATCATTCATCCCTGCTTATGCTCCACCCATTCTGAAGGCTTGCGGTTTGGGAGTACGGTGATTTAGGTATAAAACGTACCCTAAAGCCTCGTATGTTCAGAGGTGGCACTTGTGGAAGGTGATGGATCATGGGGTGCTATACTCATCGGTGGATTCATCATGGATGAGTTCCTGGCTAAATGGCTGTAGGAGGTGGGGCCTGGTTGGAGGTGGTCCCTGGGGTGTGACCTGCAAGTGTGTATTTTTTTTCTCCCTGGCTTCTCCCTGTGTAGATTGTCTTACAACCATCTGGTCTACCAGGCACAGAGCAGATGGTTCCTGTCTGTCTTCTGTGGCCTACTCACCTTGGCTTCTAGCCGTGCTGGCTGAGATGTCACAGACTTCTGAAAGTTTCAGAGGTGGTGAAGGCTATCCAGACCACTTCCCTCTGAGGTCCTTTAACATCTCACCCAGGGGGGTGGATGTCCTATGTCCCAGTAGAGCACTCCTAGGATTCTGGGGGTGTCACTGGGGGACTTGGCCTCTGATCAGAAAAGGAAGGGAAGCAATGCATGTCCCCTTTCGGGATGGGATGGAGCCTGTGTAAATGTGTGTCTGCTTGGGACCTGGATTCTCAGGTCTGATGGGCCCAAACAGAGGTCTGGAGCAGAGCCTCATTCCACAAAAGAGCAAAGTGAGAGCTGGGGTCTGACTCCGTGTTACATGTTGGCTCTTTCACTCCCTGTCTCAGTCCATTTGTGCTGCTCTAACAGGAGAATGGAGACTCGACAACTTATGAAGAAAGTGTGTTTCTCATAGAGTAGGCCATTCATGTTCAAGCCCTGGCATCTGATGAGGAGGTGTGAGTCTTCCTTCTGTGTTCTCATGTGAAAGAAGGTAGCAGAGCAAACAGGGGCAACTGCTGTGCCCTTCTTCCTATGGCAACCCAGAAGCTGGCACAGGTACACTGCCATAGCCCGTCTGAAAACAGCTCTGTCCTGTTCTTGACAGCAGAATCCTTGTCACCTCCTAAAACTTGCTCTCATGACACTGCAGCTTTGGAGTTCAAGTTTCCAACACAGGCGTTTGAGGGGACACATTCAGACTGCATCTGTCACCAACTGCACAACATCAGGAAACTCCCCGAGGAAATTTCATCCTTGTTGAAGTTGATGAGACTAGTAATGCTCACTGCATAAGGTTATTGGGAGAATTATCTACAGTAACCATGGGGTACAAATAGGGGGATGTAAGGTCCTCTTATAATACTCTGTTCCTTCCATATTTTCCAAAACTTCAGGGAACCTTATGAGGTCACTTTAGCCTTTGCAGTTGGTGAAGCAGGTGGCCGATCAAGGCTACCAGGTTTATATCCTGCTCGCCTGGCAGTCACTTCTGCCACTGATGCCTGTTGCAGGTGGCTATGATTGCTCCTGGCACCTTGCCCTTACTAAGTCTGAGATGCTCCTGGGGAACTGTGGAACATAATTCGAGCAGGGCAATGGAGATATACTCCTTGGTGGCACAATTAGTATGACTCTTTTGTCACTCCCCCAGGGGACTGTCTAGCCTGAGCATAGGGTATGACGTGAATGAATTTAGTGACTGTCAGCTCTTTACAATCAGCAATCTTGTTTAATTTCAGGCCAGAGTCCTTGTTCGGAATAGTCTCATGATTTTTAATAATATTTATTAGTTTTCCTTGGCTGTGTTGAAATTTTATGAAAGTGAGATGGGGAAAAGAGACATAAAATTGCTCATAATCCCATCACCCATAGATAACTAGGATTAATATTTTTGTGCATTCTTCTCCAGTCTTTCTTCAAATTATTTATCATAGCATTTTTTCAGTTCTGAGATTTCATAGATGACGAGCTGTCTCTTTATGATAATAGTGTTTTCTGGTACAAAATAAAGAGGAAGATGCAGATACAACTTTCTGTAACACACCCCGCCTTGCACTGAAATTTAAAAACATGATAATGTAGGCATATCAGAAGCACAGTTGAGAGACAGACCCTGTATGGCCCAAATGTGTTCAGTATTTGGCTCATTGCTCTTTGAATTACATATAGGACAATGAAAGGAGGCACAACCTCTATGGCTGTATGTTATCTGGGCTTGTCCTTTCCCAGATCTCTCTGGAAAATGTTAGGTGACATCATATCCCTGAGTGTACCCTGAGGGATACCTTCCTCCTCTTGCCTCTGCAGCTCTTAGGCTACACACCACTGGTTACTTTCTTGGACATAATCCGCTACTCACTCAGCTGCACAGAGAACAACACAGTATTTAAGCGAGGCCCACTTTATCCCCATGCTGCTCCCTTAGCAGAGAGAAAATGAAATCCTACAATAAGACAGGAAGTCCATTCAAACTTTTCCACCACAAGGGATGCGTTTGCTGAGGGATATTTGAGGGATAATTTCATGTGGATGGTATCAACTATCTTTTTGTTGGAGGGAATTCCACCACTCCTTTTTAACCCACACCCCTGTTTGCATGGCTAGCCTGCAGAGTACCACACACAGCTAGCTGTCTGGCTGCTTTCTTGCTAATTCTTTCTGACTTACTTCAAGCTGATAGGAGCTTATCTCTTAGTTTCCAATTGCACTGTTAAATTCAAGGTAGCAAGTTTCACAAAAACCAAGGAACAGAACAGTTTCTTTACATTTTGCAATGAATATGACTTGGCTACACACCATCCCCTAGCTCCCCCAAGCCTCGCTTCGAGTCCAGTTCTCCGCGAAGAGTTTGTCTCCCAGCTGCCTTGAGCTCCTCAGAAAGCCCTAAGCTTATGCAACCTGAAGCCTCTGAAGTTTGTTTCTGGAAACCTCTGGAAACCCAAAGGTGCCCTTTATTCCCCTGGGAGGAGGCTTCCCTAAGCACAGAGCAGGATGATGTTTCCAGGAGGGTGGGGAATTGTTCTCCTCTTCCTCCTCCTCCCACAGAGCACAGGGAATGGAAGGAATTGCTACCTCCTGCCAGATCTGCAAGCCACATGCCCAGGAACAGCCCTGCATGTCCCTTTGTGCCCCTACAGATGATTCAC